TTGGGTTCTAGAAGAGTGCTTCTGTTTGTCGGCAATTAATAGTCATTACCTCGTTGGGACATTCTTATTCGATCCAAAACCTGAGCGAAGCACACCACATGGTGTAGTCGAGCTGAAAAATGAAGCCTTATTTTTACTTAGGTAGATATACTAGTTAGCTAGGAATTAGCTGTTCTAGTACTAAGAGAGGAGGTAATATTTACCTTTTATAATAATATATAGAGGTATTACCTAGCTATCTATATATATACCCTAAATAATAAAAACCTATTCTTAATTACTAGGCTACTTTATATAAGACCTTCCCTTATAGTTAGAGGTTATAATAACCTTTATATATAATAGTATTTATTAATTTAGGGCTTTAGATAACACCTATAAGGTAAGTTCTGTCTATAGGAAACCTAAGAAATATAAGTCTAAAACACTATATAACTTTACTATTTTTACTTTTAATATAGTATAAAGACTTTCCTAGGCAGAATTTATTTATTTAAAGAGGTTTTTACTTATAATCTTTTTATATTACTACTCTACTATTAGTTACCTAGAGATTATAATAAGCTTTATAATATAATTATATATAAGGTGTTCTAGAAACCTTTATAAATTATTTCTTAATACTTACTATACCTATAGATAAATAGCTATAATATAGTAACTAGGTAAAATATAAAAGAGGTTATATTATTATAATAAGATTTTATTAAGTAATCTTAAATGTTCTTACTAAGGACTAGAATTTAATACCTAACTATATAAATACTATTAAAATCCTTTATATAATTTTATATCTATAAAGTAGATATTTTCTCTTAATTATTAAAGTAATAAATAAGTAAGTGCTATAGTATAACTATTATAAGGCTTTAGTTTAGTAGTTTTACTTTTTATAGATACTATAATATAGACTAGAATTTAGTTTTATAAGTTTTATAATATATAAGCTTTAAATCCTAACTATATATAGGGACACTAGGATTTTAAGGCGTATTAATATAATAATATAATAGTAAAGTAAGCTTTACTTAATATCTTTTTATTTTTTACTAATTAAAATAATAAAGCAGAAGTAAGGCGTATAAAAGAGAAGGCGTTAAAGTAATTAAATAGAACCTTTATCTAGTTAGCCTTAGGCCTATGAGTCTTTAATTAGTAGTCTACTTAGTAGCTTTTTAGGTAACTTTAAGGACTTTAGCTTCTATAATACTAAAGATAATAAGTAATATAGTTAAGGAAATCTTATATTATCTTTAGGTGTTCTATAATAGTAATCTAGAGGGAGAAGTAAATAAAGCTCTTAGAATCTATACTTAAATATAAGTTAAAGCTTCTCTTATCCTTAGATAAGTCTCTAATAATAAGTAAATAAAACATAAGTATAAGTTAACTAAAGTATATTATACTTTAAGAAGTAGTAGCTTTAGAATAAGAAGTAATAGCTTTAGAATAAGGAATATTAAAAGGAAATTAAGAGAAAAAAAAAGATAAAATATAGCTATAAAGAGAGAAAATATAGCTATAAAGAGATAAGCTATAACTTAAAAGGGAAATAATAAAGCTATAAAGATTAAGAGAGAGGTAAAAGAGGGAGAGTTCTTTTTATAGTGTAGCCTAATAGGCTGGATTTACCTACTACCTATAAGGTAGACTTTATAAATTTCTAGGAAATTCTTTTTTTATTAGTCTTAGATTATAAGTTTAAACTAATATATATAAGGGATAAACCTAAGATTTTATTACTATTATTAAGATTAGGATAGTAATAAGACTACTAAATAGTATATACTAAATTCTATTTATCAGGGGGTAAATAGCTTACTTTTTTAGCGTTACTTACTAATTAATAATAGTATATATCTTACTTACTTTATCTAACTTTATTTTATAACTTATAGGTCTTATAACGTTTATTTTACTATAGACTATAGGTAGTTCTTATTTACTATAAATCTAGCTAAGGTATATTAGGGATTTCCCTAAGATATATTTTAGAAATATTCCTACTTATATTCTTATTTATAAGGCATAGTATATTAAGAAGATAGTTATTGGCCTAAATAGCCTTTATCTTTTAAAAGGTTTCTAATATAATATTATTTCCTATTACTAGCTTATATATATTTATATAAAAATTAATATACATAAGACTTTACTTATAATCTATTAGTAAAAAACTTACTAGTAGTATACTTATTATTATAACTCTTTAAACTACTAGTAAAGAAAAGTAGTATTATAACTATAAGTTACTTTAATATACTTCTTAAGAGCACCTAGTAAAAACTACTTAAGTCTCTATAAGATATTAGCTTTTATCTTCTTTTATACTTTTATAGCTTATTATAAGATATAACGTCTATTTATTATTATTTAAGAAGTAATATAATAGCTTACTAGCTATAATAATAATACGTCCTTACTACCTTTATTAAGGTGTATTTATTTATAATAGAAAACTATACCTAATTATACTTAAATAGTAAAAGATAAGGCTAGTATAAACTATTAGTATTTTTACTAATATACTAATAAAAAGCTAGTGTATTATAGTACTTTAATAGCATAAAGAATATATTTAAAGTGTATAGTAAAAAGAAATTACTATTATATAACTAATAGGTTATACTTATATTTTTAGAAGTTTACTATATATAGTTTATTAAAGTACTAAGAGATAAAGTAAAACTAATATTTAATTAATAGTTATATAACACTTTCTTTACTTAATATATAACTAGAAATATAAAAAGAACTATAACAAATTAAGTAGCTATAAAGTAGAACTTATATAATATTAAATAAAAAAAAACTTAGAAACGTTTCTTATTTAATTAAGTAATATTTTCTAAACGTTACGTCTTCTTTAGCTTATTTTACTTTAATTATTTAGGAAACGTTTTGAAAATATTTCTTATCTCTCCTTATATTAACTCTAACCTTTATAAATTCTAGGACACTAGATACTTATCTAGGTAGGAAATATTTTAGAAACGTTTCTAGATTCTTTATCCTTTATAGCTTAGGGGTAAAGGCGTAAGTATAAGTAATCTTATAGGCGTAGTATAGCTTAGTAAGGATAAGAGGTATCTTTATTTACTATTAGTAAGTAAAATAATTTAGAAACGTCTTTAGTATATACTAAAAAGATTATACTTTAGGTTATAGTTAAGGTAATAGTAGTAATACTTAACGTTATAAGTAGAATTATAACCTTTATTAAGAGGGTAATCTATATAATAAGAAATAAATTAGTAATATTTTAGAAATATTTCTAAAAGTAAACTTACTATAACTAACCTTATTCTAAAAGATATAGGTATTTTAATATATAGTAGCCTCTATACTAAGGTCTTACTTTATTATAATATAGTTAATTTAAATAATATTAATTAGTAAAATATACTAAAACGTTTTTAAGTTAACTTATATTACTATAGGTATTAGTTAAGAGGGAAAATAAAGCTAGGTCCTTAATAACTACTTTTACCTTATAAAAGGTTATAAGCTTAGTATTAATACTATATACTTACTAATATATATTAATATAGTACTTTATAAAAAGGGATAATTAATTAGTTTAAAAACGTTTTATAATTATTTCTATAGTTAATTACTAATAGTATTTTAATTATTATAGGTCTTTAGGCTTTTAGCTATAGATAAATCTACCTTAAGAAAGTAAGTATCTTTTAAATACTTCTTAATAGCGCTAAGGAAGGACTAATTATATTTCTAAATAAAATTAAGATTAATTAAGAAACGTTTTTAAAATAAGCTTATATTATAGTATAAAGTCTCTTTAATAATCTTTTTATTACTTAGGCTATTAACCTTATAAGTAAAATTAATAGTATAGTATAAAACCCTACTTATAGTAATAATAATATAACCTTACTTAAAGATTATAAGCTTTAGAAATATTTTAAAAATATTTCTATATTACTTATAGTATTAGTCTTATAAATAAGAAGGCTACTAAGGTAGCTATTACTATTAGTATACTACTTATAGGCCTTTATATTATAAAAAGTAAAAAGTATTATAAAGAAATATTTTAGAAATATTTCTAGGTTATTATTATAAATATATAAATAAAAGCGTAATTATAAAATAAAGTATTATATAATAAAAAGAAAAAAATAAAAAATAAATTTCTTAATTAGGGGAATAAATAGACCTTAAAGACCTAGTAGCTAATTATAAACCTTTAGTACGTACTTCCCTAATTAACTTAAAAATATTTCCCCTATTTTTACTTAGACCTATCTATATTTCTTTACGCTTTAGTACTTAATTAGTTAGGAAACGTTTCCTATTTTTACCTAGACCTATCTATATTTTTTTATAAGTTAGTTCCTAATTAGTCTAGAAACGTTTCTAATAGGTATAGCCTAAAAATCTTTTTTTTTATATAGCTAGATTATTTTTTTATATACGTCCACCTATCTATTAGACAAAGCCTTATTATCTATATCTATTATTAGCTTAACTCTACACAGGCCCCTATTAGTTATTGTGTATAGTACTCTTAGGTTGTTAGGGGGGGGGGGCATTATCAGCTTGTCTGTAGACTCCCCTTCTATCTAATAGAATTATTTGCGTTATCTTTTGGAAACGGCCCTAAAACTAGCTACCCTGGAGTTTGTATAGACATAGTCCGAAAACGAGTCAGGTTTTGGAGAAAATGTCATGCAAGATGAAACCAGTAGGTAGATACAATGGGCAACTAACGTATGATCAGCTCACTGAAGGAAGCATAGGGTAGTTCGCGACTACCCCTAGCCAATATTGGGGCTATTACTCTGAACAAGTCATTGAGAACTGTAAATGCACCTGATAACAGTATATAAACCCGTTTTGTCCTCTGTACAAAGTACTATCTCTCAGCCAATTGATATCTTACAACAATAACAACAACATATTCCTCAGCACATCTTTATTAGCATTATTCTTCATCTCAGTACTGGTTACTGCTATACTCATTTTATACTGTCATAATGCACGCCTCAACAGTCCTCTTCGTCTCTCTATCTCTTCTTGCCGGCCAAGTCCTAGCAACAGGCCGCTGCTGTAATGGCGGTACAGATGATTTCCAAAACTTTTGCAAAAGCTCAAACCTCAACAGTTTTTGTGTAAACTCCTGTGCCCTAGTAGCGCCACTGGATTCTGTATTGAACATAGCTAACTTAACATGTCTTATAGTGCACCACGCGGGACCCTAATTCAGGGAGAGGGTGTGACGGGGATACGGAATTCCCAACTGGACGCGATACGAAAATCGATGGCGTCCCCTTCGCACCGTCATGCACCTCTGGGGGCCAGACTGGATTTGTTGCATGCGCCTAAGACATCAACTGTTGCAGGGTTCAATACAGGCTTGGGTCTGATGCTTCTTTTGTCTGGTGGCAGTCTAGAGCAGCTAGAAAGTATTAAAGCGCGTAATTAGCAACGATAACCTTGCGTTAATTGATTGCTTTATTACTATTTAATAATTAAGAGTCTTATTTACTTAGTAACACAACGTACATCTTACGTAACCTAATCTACTGCATACAGGATTTCTAGAAGACCTCTGTTTGTGTTAAATGTAGTGAAAGTACATGTAAATACACTAGAGAATACACAGTTATCAAATGTAGCGGAATTACACGTGAATTAGCCGGCGAATGCACGGTTGCCCTACAGCAAATTGTCAGGGAATAGGCTGTGAATTAGCCCTACCTTTAGGGGTAACTTCACTAATAATATTACTAGGATTACCCTAGGATTTCCTAAGTAAGAAATAGGGGGTTTTCCCTGTTTCTATAGGATTTTATAATAGTTATATAACATAATAAATAAATTAACTATTATACTCTATATAATTTAAAGATTAATAGTCTAATATATATATTTATAATAGCTAATATACCTATCTACTAGTTAAATACTATTATAATAATTAATAAGAATAATAATAAGAAGGTATTTATCTTATAATTACATAATAATTAGTTTTTATAGCTTAATAATATTTAAGTAAAGGTTAAGTGTTATAATCTCTAGAAATATATTAACCTAAAAGTTATAGTAGTAAACTTATTAATCTTTAGAATCTATTTTAAGAAGCTAATAAAGCTACTTATAATATAATTATTATATATCTTAGCTAAAACTAAGCTTAGTACTTACTAAGAAGGTATTATAGCTATAGTAATTACTAAGGTATCTTAGTAAGTAACTATATAGCTATATATAGTAAGAAGTAAGGCTATTAGAGCTATACCTAATAGACTTATATATAAATCTAAATATATAATAATAGTAAATAATTTTAACTTATATAATCTTATATACTTAAATAGCTAGATAAGCTATTATTATAAAGAAGTATATAAGTATACCACTTAGTAGAAAAATATTTAAGAGATAGCTAATATAGTTAAATATACTATATTTATAAACATTAAGAAAAGATATTAAAAATTTATTAATTTATTACCTAAATAGCTAAATAAGCTTAATATAATAGTAAGAATAAATAAGAAAAAGTATATTAAGTATGCTTATAATAGGTATAGTAAAGTATTAATAAAGACCTAATAAAAGGCCTTAACTACTAAAAGAGATCTTACTATATAGCTTAATAAATAGAATATAGCTTATAGTAAATTAGTATAAGTTAGTTTACCTAACTATTAATAGCTATCAGTTTAGTTTAATAACCTTATTACTATATTATAAAGTAGCTTACTTAGTACTTAGCTAGATTTATATATAGTGTCTAGTAAAATAATAAGTAATTAAAATAATATTAGCTAGTAGTCTTTTTATAAAACAGCACTAGAAAAGGTTAAAGCCCTTACTAATAACTTACTATATTATAACTAAGTAGGCTATAATATATTTAGCCTAACTAAAGGTAATAATAGTAGTAACCTAATATATAGTAAAAATATAGTAAAAGAAAATAAATTAACTAATAAGAGGTATTACTATTAATAAAGTATAAGTAAAAAAGTAAAGTGTCTTATATACTTTACTTTTTATTTATTATAAGTTTATTACTTTATAAATAAGTTATAAAGGCTTAATAACTATTAAGTAAATATATAATATAAGTAATAAATTAATAAGTATATTATGGGTAGTTCTAACCTTATTAAATAAAGAGAAGAATTAAGGCTAAGTAATGTTAAGTATATAGTAGATACTATATATAGAGAGTTAAAAGAATATAATATAAATATAGTATAATATAAATACATATATTTATATTTTATCTTCTATATAATATAATATATATATTTATATTTATATTATTTACTTTATATAATATAATATAAATATAAATACATATACTATATCTTATATTTAATATATAAATATATTGTAGTATAGTTGTACTAAAGTAGTTTTAAATACTAGTAAGTAATACTAAGACTTTTAATTTTACTACTATAAAAGGTATCTAAAAGAATATTAGTAATATAATATTCTTTTACTTCTTTGATATTATAATCTAAAATAATATTTATACTATTCTTTTGTTACTTATAATAGTAAT